TATTGTTTTCCTTTCGCGGACCCATCGCGCATCTTTCGCGGACACTCTATTTCACATGTGAAAACCGTTTTATATAATCCCCACACCAGGACCTTTAGATCAATGCTCATATATATATATTGGGAAGCCCAGGGAAGGCTTAAGACTAACGTTCGCAGCCGGATAGGGGGGTTTTGGGCACCCACTATTTGGGCAGCTAGACCTACTATCAGGACCCCCACTTGGGTTGCATCGGGTCCCTTCCAGCACGTGGTTTTCGATGAACAAGACCCCCACTTGGGCTGCATCATGCCCTTCCAGCACGTGGTTTTAGATGACCAAGACCCCCTCTTGAGCTGCATCATGTCCCCGTCATTATGAGGTTTTGGATCATCAAGAGTGGACTTGTAAACGAAGATTGCAATTACAAAAGCAATGCCAGGAGTCGTTTTGTACAAGCCTTTACTTGCTATTGCCACTCTTCGGAACAGGAAATACTACATCTTGCGGACGTTCAAGTGACTTAGATAGCCTGTCTGAGTACTGCTACTAAGCCAGCTCAGCTAAGACCAAGAGGGCACCCCAATGTCGCATTGCCACACCTTCATGGCAAATACAATCAGACATAGCCTGACATAGCCTGCAGAACTTATGTGCCACAGATGTGCAAACGCTTTCTCACGACAGCGCAGAATCGTCCGATTCGGGTTCATCCTCCGACATCACACGCGGAGAGGCACAGCACCTTTGGTGAAGCATCGGGTAAGCGTGCTCAGGACGCAGAGACGAAACAATCATAACCTTGGGCAGGTTGGTTTCACTTCTGAGAAGCTTCAGAGACAACAAAAACAGCATGAACAAGGATACCAGGGTATCATGCCGGGTTACGCTCAGCAAACAGGCTCCGATTACTGGAACTGACATCGCATTGCCAGCGATAGATTGCAAAAGTTTTCCTGGTCCCGGGGTCGCAAAAATCATATCGTCCACGGGGAAAGCATGCCTGCCAGAAATCAATCTTCGCATGGCGGGCTTGATCACGGGGGATGCACGCATCTGCTCTCAGGGCAGGGCGACGCCAACAAGTGCACTGGGTTCAACAACGTTTCACGCCCATAGCAATAGATGTTGCTGTTCCGTGTCAGCCTTAACCGGAGCAAAATGAACACAGCCAGAGTGCACATGTAAGCTGGTGAGCGCTCAACCGCAAACCACACAATATCTAATGCCTACGAGTGGCGTAGGCATCAGACCATCCATTCGATAGCAGGTGCGACTCATGCTCTTTGCCAAATCGACTGAACAACCGACAAGTTGCTCGCGTTTCGCTGCAGCCTAAGCCGCACAGGAAAGGTCAAACGATGCCAAACTCTCCAGGATTGTTGATTGTCGAGTCGCAGTACAAGCTAAAGTAGTCGTCAGTTCTTGTCATTTCTTGGTTGGCGCCTTTGCAAAGTTTCATGGTGCATACGATGATGTAACTATGTAACGGATGATGTAACTGAAAAGAATGCAGGACAAGACACGTCCGTCTCTTGTCCAGCCAATGTATGATAGAGACAGTCCAGCTGTTCCAGCTCGCGGTCACTCATACCAATTGCCCAGTCGGCCCCGTGCTGGGCACGGCAGTAAGAAGAATACCTGATTCCATTGGGGTGACCAAAAACAGGCTTAGGGTTTAGGGTCTAATGTTTCTGAAAAATTATTCCGATATTCCTGCAGATATAATCATCTACTCTACACTGTAAGTTTCACAGTTACACTGCACTGAGTTGCAGTTACACAGTAGTTATACAGTTATAGTTATACAGTATACAGCACAGTTACACTGTACATCAGTGGTAAACGATCCACTGACAGTAGTTTATGGATAAGTTACGTTTGATAATTTTATATAGCCTTATATAGCCATACAAAATTATATAACTAAGAAAACTACATATTATTGGACCCTTGCTGACACTGTAAACGCACCGACCACACAACGCTAATGCACTCATGACCTGAACTCCAGCCGACTTCAGCCTTATCTTATCAACTTGTCAAACTACGACCAAACATTTTATAAGACTCATACCATCTTCCTGTCTTGATGACACGAGGCTCTCGGTAGATATCATCCGCATCCGAGGGATCAAAACCCAAGTTGCTTCTTCGCTCATCCAAGTCTTCTCGGATTCTGGAGAATGGTTTTGTAGGAGTGTACCTCAGGCTCAAGACCAATGCGGCTACCTCACAGAATCATCTCAGATTCATCTCTGTATGACCGTAGTCGAAAGCTGCAAAACGGCACTTGTCTCTCGCGCATTTGTCCTCACGACACGTCTCTGAGCTACTGCTCTCTGTTTTTGCACTCGGCTTCCTGGACTGGATACCTCTGCAGCATGAAGCCACCGCGACCTCCCCGCATCTAGGTACGCTACACCTAGATTAGGCTAGATGCCTGTTCAATAAAATTTCAGAACTCAGGGCACCGAGTGTCAGATCGTAAACAGTTGCCATGAAGGGCAAGGGTGGGCTGAGAGAAGGTTGTTCGATGTACGTAGATGCCAAGAAGGCACCTGGTGCATGAAACATGCTGTGTAGCAGGTGCACTGTACCACACCTGCCTAAGTATGTTACGCTCAAGCAAGATCGCGAAGATCATTGATTCAGCGATTCAGTGATTCATACGAATCGCCTAGTTCCGGCTCTTCCAAGCGCTGGCGTGCTGACTCACTTCTTGCCGGGCTTGCCACCCGCGGACGGGCGCTTGCCCGAATTCGCCGGCAACGCGTGAGACGCCAACTTGAGATCCTGTCCGTTCCAGACGAACTGACTGAATGACTGAATGACTGACTAAATCTGCTGCTAACTACCGAACGTGCTAACTGCAAACTGCGATTGACTTCCTCATCACGTGCACTTGGCTCCATCCGGCCTTCTGCATCTTCTCCAGCAAAGCAACAGCCTTGGCAGGCTGGTCCTTGCGCGTGAGCAGCAAGTGCGTGCTCGCGAACTTGAGGAATGCGGTCACGTCCTTGGCAAGTCTTGCCGGCTCGCTGCGGTCCTGCGTAAAGAGCTCAAGTGACATGAAGGCGAACGTGGCCGCCATCATTTCCGAACATGTCGGTCCCAGCTTGTACGCTTCGGTCATGATTTTCAAGGTCTCGGCTGGAATCGTGTCCGTCATGTCCGACTCCCGGTTGATGTAGCACTGCAAGACATACTCGGTGTCGCGCATAGCCTTTGCACCTGCAATCTACACACCGCGGCACCACTAGGTTTTCAGAATTCGTACGACAATCATATGTTTGGGTGGTTTTGCTATCGTGTGTGGTAAAACGGTCGACGGTAACTTATGAATGTATAAATAAATTATAAATGATAAATTATTATAAATTATAAATTATAAATAATTATAAGCAAAAATTATTATAAAAATTATAAATTAATAATACATTTTAAATTTTACATAAATATAAATAAACCTACAAACTCATAACATTTCATACTATGTAGCAGTAGCAGTACTAGAACTAGGACTTGTACTTGTACTGCACCAAATACGAAATAATATGCGACTCCTAAACCCTAAATATGACAGGAAAATAAAAATATAAAATATATTTGATAGTTGATCAGATCATATGAATCATATGATCATATCATATGACTGACTTACAAAAAACAAAGACGGACCAGACGTGACACTGAGCATTCGTAGGATCAAATCAAACTGGATCAAAGACTGAGACTCGACTGATGATCGACGTCATCCTCATCATGTTGTAATGAGTGATGATGACTCAAAGTTTTTAAAGTTAAGTTAGAGTTAAAGGTAAAGATTGAAAATTTTAAATTAAAAAGCCTCAAACTTCAAGTGGAGACTGGTCTTGTAGGGAGCCATCGACATGGAGTGTTGTTAAGCTAACAACTAACAACTACATAACAATAGCAAATACAACGACGAACTTATACTTATACATATTCATATACAACACAGTGACAATACATTGTGGTTGTGCGCCGTGTATACTGTCTAGCCTGTCTAGCATCATTGCATCAGCTGGTATGACTCAGATAAGATACAGTTCACAAAATCCCAGAAGCAAACAGGAAACAGGCACACAGGGCACCTGCCACCGCTCCTTCCAACGTCTCGGGCTCGTCAGCGTACTTGGTGAGCAAAGTGGTCACCTCTTGTGGAACATCCTCAGGCTTCACCTTGGCAACGTCCACACCCTGCAAGAACGGAAGGGCAAGCTTGACCTCCTCATATACAGGCTGCAACGCCGCCTTCCCGGCTTTGGCCTTGTTTGCTAAATGAATGATCGAAGAGGTCACCTTGTCCGTGAGGCCCGTCACAGCGGCCTCCAATCCGTGAAGGCCCTGCTCCTTGTGGTCACGCTGGAAGGCTGTCACGTCGCACCATGCCGTCATGCCCTCCATAGCCAAATTGGCGCTCGTCCAAGCCTCGGCCGTATAGATACCGTGGTTGATGCTCTCAGCGGGTGCACTGAAGTCCTTGACACGCTGCACACCGCGGATGATCTTCTCCACCTGCGGTCCAAGTCGTGACTTTGCACTGGAGTCCAATGCCATCACCGGCGTGTGCTTGCCCGCATGGATGAGCGACCACATCCAAGCAGGCGTTTCTGAGATATGCGAGGCAGCCACGCGAGCGATGGCTTGCTTCAATTTCACGAGACCGCCGTCGATGTCGGATCCTTGCAAGAAACTGAACTGATAATGAGCGTGACATTCGAGAGTCTCATGGTACGGGAAATTACGAATTAGGTACTCAAGCCAGAACCACGGATTAAGCTGAATGCCTGCCGCATCCACCCACTCACAGGCGGTCTTGAGGTCTCTGCTGGCACTCAACTTTTGCACGGCCGTGGCCGTCTTCACGAACTTGTCTGCGTCTATGTCTCTCTCCAAAGCAGCCACACTGTGAGCGACCGATTGGGCGTCATCCAAAGCTTTGACGAAAGCGTCTGCAACGTTCTCGCGCACCGCTGTCCATCCTGCAACCTGTCTATGTCTATGTCTATGTCTATATCTATCTCATAGTCTATATCTATGTCTATATCAGTCTATGTCTATATCTATATCATATAGTCTAATAATAGTCTATGTCTATATCAATATATATATATATTATATTATATTTATATCATATATCATCTATAAAAAGAACTAAAAAGGCGGTGTAAGTCTTGAAGTCGTCGATATCAATGTTGCCTACGACTCACGACTCACGAATATAGACTATGACTCTGACTATGACTATGACTATGGCTATGACTTTAATTAGTATAAATATTATAAACTATAAATTATAAATTATAAACATATGTCGATAGTTTATAATTTTATAAATTATAAATTAAACACTATATAATAAGTATACGCTAACTCTGACTCTGACTGTATGGCTATAACTTTACTATGACTATATGCGTTATTTATAAATTTATACTTTATAACCGTTTATACTACTTTATACATCTATCCGGAATGTATTCACTCGAAGTTACACAGAAGTCAGGAGGCGTACAAGTGCACCGAAGCAACAGATCTTAGCTTACAGGTTGCAGCTAGATTAGATTTGAAAGGCCTGCCGCCTGTCCCACTCCGAAACTTGAATCCCTCGCGTGCCTTGCAAACTCTGGCCAACTTCCAGATGCCCTTGAAGGCTCCGGGGACAGGCGTTGCTACCTCATTCGGGTTGAGGCTGCGCTCTAAGAGGGCCAACGTCGGCTGCAAGTGGTTGATGATGTCTGCGGTCGCTGCTGACACAAGTGCCCTCAGCTTCTGCACCGCCGCCGGGTCCGCAATATCGATGGTGTTGATCAGCGACTGCATGTCCGCGTTGCACGTGATGGCCTGCACCAACTTGTCCACCGAGTCGCGGCGAGTGCAAAACTGAACGAAGTCTGCGATCTCTGAAATCTTTCCCTCGGTCGCATCTTCCGGGAACTCGTTCACGCAATTCCGAATCTCCTCAACCAAGCCGGCCTGTGTTCGACTGCGCTTGGCACCAGCCAGCATGGATGTCCAAAGCTTCCTGGGTGGCAGAGTATAAAGTAAAAACTGTATAAGAATGTATAATTGTTTATAGTATATATAACTTATATAATATATAATATATATTATAAATATAAATTATACATTATAATTATATTTTTGATTAATAAATTTTATATATATATATTATATACATATATATATATATATATATTATACTAGTACATTACATACAGTACTAATACAATATATTAATATATAATATAATATATGTATATATGTGTACTTGCTTATAATTTATATTTATATCAACTATCAATTATCAATCAATATTATATCAGTATGTGATATTATATTATTAAGTATATAATATCATGGGTCAGTTATACAGTTATACAGTTATACAGTACTCCCAGGTGCCCGACAGCAGGCAGGCGGATATCTACATGGATTGATTGAACTTTGACTTGACGTGCTATTGTATAATGGCCAAGACACTTGGAGTTTCCCACTCGCAAATAGGTCTGCAGCTTCTCACTCAATCGTGGCTGCAGGCTTATCGCATGCTTGGCATGGAGGCACTCCAACGGCGTACCGCTTGATCCATCCTGCATAACAGCTTACGGTTTAGGGTTTAGGGGCGGGTGCAAGAAACTTATCATTTCATTACCGTCAGCCGCACAGACCTTGAAAGTAAATCTCAGACCGAACCCTTACGTTATCTACAAAATTCTACAAATGAAAAGTGGTGTTCTCTCGAGGTCAGTCTTCATGCGGGACTCTTCGACTGTTCTGCTAATCTACATAAATACAGTAGTTACACAAACGACATCAACCCTGACTGTAGTGACACGGCAACTCAGAGGTCCTCACCGTAGTTTCCGAGCATGGTACGAACCATCTGCACCTCGAACAAAAGGTTAGGTCCATAAAGCTCCCTCTCGTTCATCGGGCGCTGAAAGAACTCATCATTGACCGTTGCAAGGTCCACGGCAGGAACCGCCGACCTCGATAGATTCCGATAGATATTACTAATTACTAATTACTATCAATATTAAGAAATTAATAAAGCTGGATAAGTGGATAAGTTGATATATGTCAAAATAAGTCAACAAGGTTCAATTAGTACAAGTTTAGTACAAGTATTAAATTATATTATATTACATATTCTTATTATATTATAATATATTACATATTTAATGCAGCCCGCAAACAAACAGGCCATGAGAGCACGCATCTTGTTCGTGTCCTTCAAGCGCATCACCTTGTCCCACCATGTGGACAGGAGCTGGTTTTGAAGTTGCAGGGCCATGGCTTGCGAGGAGGACACCTCCTTGTAGATCTGCAAGCTGAAGAACCGATCGGTCGTGTCCGTCTTGCCGAGGCCAAGCATCTTCAGGAACAGCTCTGCCCGCTTTTTCTCCTGAACGAATGGGAAAATGAAGACTGAGGACTTGTCTGCTGCCACCAGAATGCAACAATGATGCCGCCTACAATAACAAAGTGCAGTCTCCCAGTATCTCACGCTTTCGGTTTCTCACACACACTCTCTCTCTCTCTCTGTCTCTCTCTCTCTCTCTCTCTCTCTCTCTCCATCTATCATCTCATCTATCATCTATCATCTATCATCTATCATCTATCTATCATCTATCTATCTATCTATCTATCTATCTATATCTATCTCTCTCTCTCTCTCTTTGTCTCACACGCACTCTCTTTCTCTCGAGATAAGGCTTCAAACTTCAAGCCAACTTCAAGCTACCAACCGACGGATCCTCATCAGCATTCGTCCTCGCCCCAGCCGAGTGCAACTGCTTGGCAAAGGCAAGGAACATCTCGGCGAGAAGCGGAGCCTCCAACGTCTTCAGCGTGACCAGGTCCTCCTCCAGCAAGCCTTGATGGAGCCAGTCGACAGACTTCTGCATGGCCCCGAAAAGGAAGTTCTTCTTCTTTGCACCGTCCAGGAAAGCCAGTGCTTCCTCACGTACATGCATACATGACGCGTCATCCATTGTGTCTCATGTCAGACCATGCATTGCGTGACCATAACTTAACTCATGACAAGCTTACGGTCCTAGGCTGCGCGGGGGCTATACAGGCTATACGGCTATACTGGCTATACTATACAGAGCCTGGAAAGGACTATACTGACTTATTTGTTGTTTCGCTACACAGGAGGTTTATTAGCTTAGACGTAGACTTAGACACCTAGTCTTAGACCGTAGACTCCGTAGACTGTAGACTGCTACGACTGCAGACTGTACTGACAGACACTGATAGACTGGTAGACTCTGCTGGACTGTCTGATTGATAGACTGTGACTGATTTGATAGACTGTGATAGACTGGTGACTGATATGACATGATGATATGGTAGACTGGACTTCATAAAACTGATTTATAGAATTATTAGACCATAGATGTATTTATAGACGCGTAAACCAACTTGTCGGTATAACGGTACAAACTTATAGACAGGACATCTACAGTTTTTAGAAGTGTTATTCGTTATTAAATAACTTAACCTACACATTTATAGACTTATTTATATAAACTTATAGACTTATAGACTTATAGCCTATAGCCTATATAACCTTATAGACTTATAGCCTTATAGCCTGTAGCCTTATGGCCTTCTGGACTTATAGACTTAAAGGTTATAGAGTTATAGACACGACAAATAGACAGACTACTGTTATAGTTATACTATCAATGTAGCGATAGTATACAGACCATGCGGTGCGGTACAAAAAAGAAACTAGAATGTAGAATTTAGAATCTATCTATAAGTCTATAAGATGTATAATTTAATATATAATATCTTATTATTCTAAATTCTTTACAATGACTATGACTATGACTGATAAGTACGGATAAGTCTATAAGTTCTAAGTTCTAGTTCTACTGTACTGCTATAAGTCTATAAGTTCTATAAGTACAGTATAAGTATAAGTATAAGAGCGACTATATAACTAATATAATATAACTTATAACTTATAACTTATAACTTATATACTTATATAGTATAATAACATAACACAGTCCTCCATGAGAATTGCATCGGGAGCATCTGTGCTTGCCAAAATCTTGTCGATGAGGCCTTCCAAATTGTTGCCCATCTTCTCAACGATCTTATCCTTCACGCGTGTCTCCCACAAGACCCGGTCTGCAAAGGATGCACGGTCCTTCTGCAGCTGATTGTGCAAAAGTTCTTCCGGCGTGTCACCTGCGTCACCCTTCTTACCATCGCCCTTGCCGCCCTTGCCCTTGCGGCCTCCACGTCCTCCGCCCTTTCCGCCCCTTCCACCCTTGCGGCCGCCCGGGAACTCGTTCGGACTCGGAACCAAAGCCAAAGCATCAGCATCCGGCTGCCTCTCCTTCTTGGGAGCCTCAGCCATGTCGTCATCATCCTCCGTCGCTGGAAGCCCTGGCCCCTCGTTCTCGAAGTCTAACCCCAAAGTGTCAGTGAGGGTCTGGCTTGGCTTGCGCTTGAATGCGGGCTTGCGGGGAGAGCAGCTTGCAAGGCTTGATGGGGGTTTCCTGGGAGGAGGACTGCCACTGCCCTGCCCATACTTTGGAAAGAACATGCCCTCGCTGTCATTCTCAGAATCGGAATTGTCTGGGGCTGAGGAGGCAGTGTCCACACGGTCACGGCCATAGTAATTTGCAATCTGCTTGGCTGTGTAGCCTTCCGTCTGTCCACGCAGATTGCCACGCGTCTCACGCAAGTCCTTCGTGTATCCACGGGCCGCGGAAGAAGCCGCAGCCCCGCTGTCGTGCTGAGATTCCTGCCAGGGAACTCAACAAATATTATTCCCAATTTGGTACTATCACTGACTATCACTATCTACTAATGACAGCGACGATTATTGAATACTAGTGTGTCATTTAAACAAAAGTCTTATGATGAGAACTAGATAATTAGATAAGATGTAATTTCTCATGACAATATAATATAATATAACTTCAAAATTATATTAAATGAATTCTATGACTATGACTATGAACTTATAACTTATACTTATACGTATACTGTATACAGTATACAGTATACTTATGACTCATGACCTTATAACTTATAACTTATAACATTACATTATTATAATATTTAAAATTATAATTATAATGGTATCATTGCATCATTACCTAATAATATAGTTGTATTCTTCATATAAATATAAAAAGAATATGATAGTCTGATAGTTGATATAGACGTGCATGTCATCTTATAGTTATAGTTATAGTTATATTATATATTCATTAGTCATTAGTCATAGTCAGAGTCATAGTCATGAGTCATAGTCTATAGTTATAGTTCGGTTTTATCACATTGTTTTATTCTATATTTATAATACTGATAGAAATATTAATAATATATGTCCTGAACCATGCGAATCACATCGCATGAACCCGTGCGTTAAGGCTCCTTCTGACTCCGTTTAACCAAACCTCGGTATCCTGTAGCCTCTAGCCTCTAACTTCACTTCTATCAGTCTATCACTACTTCTAACTTCTAGCTTTTATCCTATCCTTAAGGTGTTGTGCCTAGTCTATTGTGTTGTATCCCGCCTTGCGCTTTCCTGCAGCCTGCCGTGTTCCCATCCTGATTTTCCGCTTGCCATCCAACAGCGGTACATAAGCCTGGTCGCCTTCGAAGATGACCTTCATGTTCAAATCCTGCATGCGGCACAGGAACTGGTCGTGGGAGTTGCAGTAGTCGTAGTAGTATAGTAGCGGCAGTAAGAGGGGGAGGAAGTCCAGGGCCCAGGGTAAGTATGAGTGGTGGGGTAGTAGGAGTGGGAGGAGAAAATGTAGTCAATTATATTATAAGTTATAAATAATTTAAATTAAAAAAAATAAATTAGCATATAAAGTCACAAGAGTAAGTCAGAGTAAATAAGTATTCCACAAGCAGCCAGTGTATGAGGACACTAGCGACATATGTCCTGCTCAATGAATCTCTTCATCATGAATTCACTCTCGAAAGTGCCAGGGTCGAAGCCACGGTCCACGAGGAACTCCTGCATCGTCAAAGCAACACCTTCCTCGAAGATGTCTGCGTAGTTCTCCGTGTCTTTGTAGGCTTTCAAGTCGACGCGCTCGTAGGATTTCCTGCCTGGAGCAGTGTTTGCCCGACGCTTCTCTTCCCACTTGGCCTTTATCCCCGGATTCTTGCGCTTGTGCTCGTTCAGCTGGCGCTGTGACAGGCCGGGAAAGTTCCCCGTTCGGGTGACCTGCCAGCAGCAGCACAACTCCACTACGAGACGGACGATGGCTCTGACAGTCACGTATCCGTGTAGTATCAGTATATGATACAGTATATGACAGTATGTGTATAAGTTAGTATAAGTTAAGTATACAGTATACAGTGTATACGGTATACATACAGTATACAGTATACAGTATACAGTATACGGTATACGGTATACGTCTAAGCTACAGCTCCACAGTTCATAAAACACAAACATGACATATACTATACAACATATAAAATAATAATGACAGCATCCAGCTTAAGAGCCAAGAGTAAAGACTCACGCCTAGCCGACCAAGACCAAAACTAGACGAGGACTTAACACGACTTTGGATGGGAGCATACTTTGCCTTAATTTGAATTCTCTTTAATTACTCAGAAAACTTGATTCCCCGGTCACGACCTCGCGTCCTGCTACAGCAACACTTAGCAGTCAGCCCTCTTATCGCAACAGCCAGTCCTTGCAGAACTTGCACTCCTGGCCCTCGGGAATGTTCCGCTCATGGGTGGCCTGTGCAAAGCAAGCATTGGTATGCGACACACAGACACTGATGGCAGAGTAGAGTACACCGGTAGATTGATAGTAGTATCATTTGTTTATTTTATATTAGTTATACTAAGTTATAAGTTATAAGTTATAAGTTACAAGTTACAAGTTATAAATTATATAAAATTATTATAAATTGTAATTATAAATGTTATAAATATTAATATAAATTCATATCATATCAGCTCAGCTAGATTAATATTAAGTTCTACCATATCTTCAGCCCCGCCCGTAGCATGGATCCTCGCCGAAAGCAAAGCCTAGCTCGCTCAATTGGTTGACTCAACATCAAATTGGTGAATGAGTCATGGCCCGGCTGATCACCGAGAATCGAACTTTCTCGAACTTATTGAACATTGACCACCGATCCATATCGACCCTGCTGATAAAAAAACCTGAAGGCTGGACAACAATCACAATGACGACTTCATATCATTGATTGGTGGCTAAGACATTGGTACGGTACGGATAGTAGTAGCAGTGATAGACCGCCGAAAGATCAGAGAATTGAAGAGCCATAGTCATAATTCTAGCAGCGAAATGGAGCTGCAATTGGGACACTAATGCTGCTACTACTGTGCCTGTGCCTTGTCAACTCTGTGCTTCGTCCAAGCCAAAATCATGTCGTGACCATCTGGAGCGTAACGGTCTGGGCTTCCATACTCCTGCTCGCAAGTAGAACACATCGGTGTGCCACCACCCTGACAACTTTCATGTCCGGAGCAGCCGCCGTGACTTGGAGAGTCAGCAGGCGTGGCAGCGGTCGTGCCAAAATTCATTCCACCACCCAGCATCACTACGATAGCAGTATCACAGGGACGCTAAGTCACACAGAGAGGTTGCGTGCAGTTTTTTGCACCGTGCTAGCACAGGCAAAACGTTGCTGCAGGACAGAACGGGAAATCACACAGGACATGCCGCGGCTGCCAACGTCACTGCCATGCCTGATCGCAACTGCACGCATGCTGGCACCACACTGTTTTGCGTGACTTACGACAAGTCTAACGTCTCACGGAATCTCCCTTGTCTCAGCACTGCACCTACTGTCAGACGACTGCCAGAAAGGGTTCGTTGGTCCAGGATGTATACTTATGATTTTTATACAAATTATAAATTATAATAACTATAACTATAACTTATTTTATAACTATGACTCACTATGACTATGACTAAGACTATAACTTGACTATAACTATAACTATAACTATAACTAACTATAACTTTATAACTTATAACATAACTTGTAACACTACTATGAAACGCAAGACTAAGATTATGACGCTCTATGCTTCCTGTGACCTGTGACTCTCGGACCTGCCCGTAAAGTACCCCGCAACCTTCTGGTAGCACGACGTCTGCAGAGCACCATATCATATCTGCAAAATGTCTCAGCACAATTGGCTGACCTCGCCGCGGCTCCAACCCACGCAAAACTTCGACTGCGCTGCCCCCCAGCCAGTCAGAGACTATCCGTATCAGTATCATCGTGCATTAGTTCTACAGTAGTTATACAATATATTATATTATATTTATATAATAAGTTATAAGTTATAAGTTATAAGAAGTTATAAGTTGTTATTATTATTATTATAAACAGACTATGAACCTATCTCAGTAGATCACATTCAAGCGCTGTACAAACAACCTACCTGGGTGGCCAAAGTCGACGACACTCGAAGTCACGGGCGCAGTGCGAGATGTTGGGTAGCGAAGCAACGTGCTCTGCTGCAGGAGCGACACGCTGTATGCCTAATCAACAATCCATATGGCTGAACTGAACTCACTTATCTAATTATCTAATTCATCTGAATCTCAGAATCACCATCTGCATCAAGGACAAGGAGTGCAATTAAAAACTCAATACCCGAAACTACGACAATGGCTCACTGACTACGTCTGCGCCGGGCTCTGTGTTGCATTAGTGACCATTCGCGCTATGCAGACTTGCTATTCTGTTGAAAAAAAATCCGTTACCGTGACTGTGTGAGTCTCTACTGGCTAACTGGCTAAGTGCAAGAGTTCTAGTCTGACATGGCTGACAAGTAGCACTCTGCAATACCGCAACACTGTGTGCTTGAATCCTAATCAGTTCTCTCGATGTTGGAACGGGACGCTAGAAGTTATAAGTTTTATAGGATTTATAGGTTGCTATAAGTTAGAACTTATAACTTATAACTTATAACTTATAACTTATAAGTTATAAGTTATAAGTTATACAGTGATAATGATAATTAGTGATAATTGACTAAGACTTCTACTTATAACACTCATAACTACTTATAACTTAGTTACAAGCTCTAAGTTCTAAGTTCTAGTTCTAAGGGTCTACATTAAATTATATTTCTAACTCTAACTTCTACTTCTACTTCTACTTCTACTTCTAAACAACCACGCGAAGCTGCCCATGCTGTGCCTATACTGAAGACCCACACTGAGGAACACTCGCCAAGCTAGGACTGTCGTCGTCCTGGAAGATCACCACGCTAGCAGCACTAGCCACTAGCCATGCTTACGTACAGTAGCTAGCCTTACGCTTCTTATTCTTACGCTGCATATGCTCTGCTGCATCAATGCGACCAAACACGGAGTCGTCATTCATATCCTCCTTTGCGACCATGACTGGATCTGCAGTCTTCTGATGCCGAACCTGCATTTTGGGCCACGGAATTACGGATGTTTCAAGTTCATCCACGTCGTCCAAAATTGAAGTGGTCTTGCGAGCCCTCCTCGATGGTGCCCACGGAACGGTCAAGGATAGATCCGGACTTCCGACTTTCTTGCGAGTCTCCGGCGTAACAAGGCTCTTGGCCTTTGCCTCGGGACTGGAGCCGTTCTGCCAGATCTTCAGAGACTTCTTGACAGGCTGCGTATCAGGACTCGTTGCCCCAACAGACGGTTCTGGCTCAGGCTCTCGGGAGGAAGAGGAAGCCATGTGTTCGAGAGGCAGAACCCCAGAAGGGCAGGCTACTAGTGCTACTGCGACGAAAACAACTCAGGCAAGCAGCAGGCATAGGATCCAGATTTCAGGATACATCAGATTTTCAGCAACGCAGCAACCAGACAGACAACGATGATAACGCGCTTACATACGTGTTTTGTTTTCCTGAGCCAATGCCTTGCAAAACTGTCCGTCAGACTGATGCATGCACGATTAGGCACCAGTCTCACTGTCACTTGGGGACACTGTGTCGACGACTGCATAGCTTGGAAAAGGATCCATTATAAGTAGCCATTATATATCTAGTCTGGACCGTCTAGACCCTGGACATGTCTAGGGATGGAGAACCACCCAGCGGGTGTACGAATTTACTAGTTATCGTCATGGTCACAATCAGAATGAGTCAGTCATACTTACAGCGACATAGTTGACTATATTTTTGTTTAAACGATTCAGTACACTGTATAAATAAGTTTGTGATGGTTTTCCATTATCAGCAGGAAAGCTATAAGTTAAGGTATAGGCAGTCAGTTATAGCTATAGTCGTTATAGTCAGTTATAGTCATAGTCATAGTTGAAGTTATGGCTATAGGGTATAGGCTATAGGCTATATAGTTAGTTATATAGGCACGGGCAGGTTCGATGTGTGTTAGCTCACTGTGTTTAGGTTAATAGTGTTTTCAAGTCTGAATTTATTACTGTATTCAATTCAGCTTGGTGTAGCCCGGTCTAAAGCTCGAATTCTAATTCAATGAGTCTCATACTCATAACCCCAACAGCCTACATGTAATGTTATGGCATGTCTATATCTATATCTATATCCTATAGTCTATAGTCTATAGTCTAGATTTGAAATTGATGAAGAACAGTATAAACTACATTATACAAATTAAATAAGTATGTGAATACCACATATTTAACGGTCATGTCAAACAACATAGTAAGATTACAACCACCTGCTGTTCAAGTCTGCATACGTGCATCTGCATAAGCTGCATAAGTAACACACTAATAAATTTACAAATATATATAGGGATATTATGTGATACATCTATAACAAATAATCTATACGGATAATATAACATAATATGGTTATAAATAGTTATATTATAAATAAAGTAGTGTATAAGTATAAGTATAAGTATCATTATATAATATATTTATATAATTATATTATATTATATGTATAATTTATATATTTTACAGTATCTATTATATAATTATAAAATATATATTATAAATTATATATAGTATATTCAGATTCATATATAATATAAATATATTTTCACATGTTATATATATATACTATATTGACTCTAATCTGAAAATATAATATGATATAAACAGCTAATATATATATATATATATCTATA